TAGACCTGTGGTTTTTTCGCACATGCTGTTTCACGGCTTGCTTTGTGACCTAATTACATATTGGGAACATTTTCCCATGGGAATCTGTGTTCTTCTTCAAAACCCCACATGGTTCTTGATAAGTTATTGCCTTGCTGAGAGTTCAGTGCCTGTCCGCGGTCTGACGGTGGAGCTCCAGGCCCTCGAGATGTCGGAGAGGGAGGTGTGTGCACCACAGAGCAGAAGGCGGGGGCCAGGCTCACATGGGGAGAGAGTTCCCCTGGGGGCCTTGGCGCTCACTCCCCACTGAAGCCTGTGTTATAGATAGCGGAGGAGGGGCCCCTTTCCAGATTTCCCCTGGGGGCTTCTCACTGCTTTGAGCTTTGCAGTGGCCTTCTTGGTACTTGACCAAAATCTGGCCGATGAGCACTGTCACCGGGGGCCTGGGAGAGGGTCTTTTGTCTGTCCCCTGCCTCCCTTTCCCAGCGAGCTTCTCAGACTCTGTTCTTCTCCATGGACTGGGCTTCTTTCCTTTGCTTCTGGTGGCAGTGGCCTCACCTTGTAAGACTGGCGTCATCTGAGTCACTGGCCTTTCTCTCCTGTGCAAGCCGAGAAGCCTTGGAAGTACAGGAAGCTCAGATAAGGGTGAGCCGATTGGCCTCTTATTGCTTTTCCACGGCTCTTTTATTATCTTTAATCTTCAGAGAGGACCCGGAAGGAGTGTTTGCTCACAGGGAGAATTAGACTTCCCAGCCAGGCAGCAGCTGGGAGAGGCTACCCCTGGGTGGATGCAGGGTGGGTCAGTGGCCTTGGCAGGAACGGGAAAGGAGGGAGGAGGCACCCAGCCTCATTCCTGGTGATGCCCTCCCCTTCCCTTGCCTGAGAAGCCCTCTCCTCCGAATCTGCCTGGAGATTTGGAGGACCCAAGTCTGGAGGGCAGCAGAGCTGTTGTCAAGAGCAAGACTTTACAGACAAATGGTAGCTCTGTCACTCGCTGGCCAGGTAACTTGCGGCAAAGTACTCGCCTGTTCTGAACCTCACTTTCCTCATCTGTGAAATGGTTATAATAAGACACACATTTGTCCTCAAGCATTTAACACAGCCCGGGCACAGTAGATAACAGCAAAGCGCAGGGCTGGGGTGGGTGGTGGTCTCCAGCCAAGCCTAGGAAGACCTGTTCACCCACAGGCACCGCCTCTTCCCTCTCTTGGGGTTCCCAGTCTCTCTGCTTGCCTCAGCTGTGGAAGCAATGGGGATAGGCGTGAAGATGACTTCTCTGTGCCATGTGACCCCCTCTCTCCAGCCTGGGTAGCCAGGACCAGTACCTGGGCTAGCTGCTCAGTAGAAATGAGGGCAGACTAGCTTCTCCAGTAGTGCGGGTGGCTTAGATCTGTGTTGTCCTAAATGGTGGCCACTAGCCACATGTGGCTATTTCAAATTAAATTACTTAAAAATTAAGTTTACTGTGTTTTGGCAATGTGCAACCAAGAGGCTCATATTTTCAGCCCCACTCTGGCTTAAAACTATGTCATAAAGCAGGAGTCCCCAACCCCCAGACCATGGACCAGTCTGTGGCCTGTTAGGAACCGGGCTGCATAGCAGGAGATGAGCGGTAGGCGAGCGAGCGAAGCTTCACCTATATTTGCAGCCGCTCCCCAGCGCCAGCATCACCGCCTCGGCTCCACCTCAGATCATCAGGCATTAGATTCTCATAGGGACACTGGTCCCTGGTGCCAAGAAGGTTGGAGACCACTGTCATAAAATATTTCCAGACCCCTTCCAAAGCTGTCTGACCTTATTCAAAAATATCTCCCGCCTCTCCCTCCCCCATGTCACCTTTAGAGTTTACCTAGGGCCTTCTCAGGTGATCCTTGTTCTCCGGTCGAACTGCACTGCAACCTAGAATATTACGATTCATGTCCAATATTTTTGTCATAGCATCTTTGCCATAGACATTTTTGCCACAAACATTTTTGCTGCGTAACTAATTGACCATAAGGCAATTTTGCCATAAAAGAGATGAAATCATGACACATAGAAGAAGGGCATTCAAAATGAACAACAAGATTAGAAAGACTATTGTGAAATACAAAATATTTGAATCTATTTAAAATGTGTGTATGCTCATGGCAGTACTGTGCAAATCACTGATTTTATTTTGTGGATTGTACCTAAACACTTGTCTTTGTTCTATGGAAAGTGTGGGTTCACCTCTGTGCTCTCAAAGAGGGCCCTCGGCTCTTTTTTTTCTCTCCCCCCGATGTAGTGTGTTTCAGAGTAAGAAACCAACTAACTATTGGGCAAATCATTATCATCTGGAAGAAATACTAGCTATTTTAAGACCACCATTGATTAACTGTTTTCTCTACCATTTGGTAAATGGAGAAATGAAACCAGACTGACAAGCAAAGAGACAAAATAAACAACAAACCAAACTTATTTTTTAATCTTTTTTTTATGGCAGTATGGCCTTACGGCCAATTAGTAATGCAGTGAAATGTTTGTGGCAAACATGTTCACGGCGAAAGTACCTAGAAGCATTACAATTTCTCTTGGTTGAAGACCTGAACTTGTGTTTCTGGCTATGCTGAGAGCTCTCTGTCTCTTTTGAAAAAAATGATGGCTAAATAGTCTAGCGAGGTTCAGTGACCTTATGACACAGCGAATCTGTGATGTCGGTGAATGTTTACATGCAAGTTCCCTACTCCCAAGAAGTCTGGTTGAAAGACCATAGACTTTGCAGGCAGACAGTGGATCCCAGCTTCCTCTGATGCACTGAGCGACACTGGGTGAGTAATTAGGTCTCTGTGAGCCTGTTTCCCCATCTGTAGCACAAAGATGACAGTGCCTGCCTCAGAAGCCCTCTTGTGAAATGAGAGATGCAAATACAGGCAAAGCAGAGCAAGCAGCACCTTCTAGGTTGTAATGGTCACTAGTTGTCACGGTTAATGCATCAAAGCAAACTTTCAACCAAACTGCCAAACTGTCACGTAGACTCTGGCTGGAACAGTTTGGTTCCGTCTGAGCGTTTCCGAGCAGCTGGATTCGGCACCTTCAAGGTGTCTCTGGGCTGAGAAGGTCGTGGTTTAGGGAAGCTGCCCTGGCAGGGATTGGGGCTCAGGTGGCTGGCTCCCTTCAGCCCAGCACCCCCTGCTGGTACAGACCAGCCTTGTCCCCTCTTGGTCTTTACTTGCCATTGGTAGAAAGCCTCACCCCAGGACTGAAATGTACCCCTCACCCCAGGGCGACACCGCTGACTTCTGGCAGTAAAATTTGAGCCGAGACTAGCTTCTCTAATAGGTGATTTAGACCTGCATTGTCCCATATGGTGGCCACTAGCCACATGTAGGTACTTAAAATAAAATGACTTAAAATGAAAAATTAAGTTCCTTAGTCACACTAGTTCCACTAGCCATGTTTCAGGTGTACAGTAGCCACCTACGGCTCACGAGACAACGCAGACGTAGGACGTTTCCATCATCACAGCCGGCCGGCCTCTGATGCCTGAGACGCGGTTATAAGAGGCCAGCTTCGGGGCCGGATGAGCTGGCTTCGTGGTCTGGCCCTGCCCGCCACGGGCAGCATGGCTTCGGGCAGGTTTCTCTGCCTGCTGCCCGCAGAGCTGGGGGGCCGAAGGCAGAGGGCCCACTCACAGGAGGCGTTCCACCCCTCGTTCTCCTTCCTGCCTTCCCCCTGCACGGTGGTCTTCATCTCCCCCT